TTGGAAAGGAAGCAGTTACCAGGTAGGCTGGATGCCTTGGGTTAATTCCTTTGAGTATATCCTTCTTTGAGTACTTGGTAATGTATCACCTGCAGTCCCATTTTTGCTGCTCTTCCTGTGATCTTTTGGAACTAATAAGGAAAAGTAGTTTTTACTCTTAGAAAATCTTAGTGTAGGAGTTGACCTGGAGAACAGAGCTTAAGGGAGATGAAATAGCTGGTTCAGTACTTAGGGAGGAAAAGTAGTTTGTTCTATTTTCTTAAATCTGTTCTCATAACTTAACATTCCTCATCGATCATCTTGATGTGGTATGACATGAGTCACAACTAAGCATGCAGACTCCAATCTGCACTAGTCCTGTATCAGAGACAGTTCCAAAAAGGTTGGTGATCAACTAGAATTTTAGAAACTTTCCATGCATCACTGATGTCCTGCATTGTCAGGATTGCACAGAGCACTCAGCAACAAAATAGCTGGGTGGTGATATAAGTGTTTCCTGTCACAGCACACACTGGGCACACTGCCTTGGGCATTCTGCATTTCTCCCTTGGTATGTCTGACACTACCCAGGAATTGCACTCCTTAAAATCCCACCTGCTGTCTGTTGCCTCGTGCACATTTCCCTGCTGGAACTCGCTGTATTAGCTGAGTGTGCCAGTGGCCCTTGTGAGCTGGCACTGATCATAAGACAGACCAATCTCAGATTACGTTTTGCTTGAGACCTAAAGCCCAATATGGTTTGAATTCAGACACTATCACCTGTGTCTAGGCTGTGTTGAACTCTGAGGTTGGGTGGTTTCTTGTTGGGGGGAGGTGGGTGTCAGGTTGATGGAAAGGAGCAGCTCCTTCTTTTTCAACTTCTGGATTGCAAGGTTTAAGGGGGTTAGTGGAAGTCAAGGGTAATTCTTGTAAATGTAAAACTGCAAGCAGGCAGCTCCTACAGTATTACAGCTAAACACTGCAGCTGAACCTTTTGTTCATCTAACTAATATTGTACACCTGCTTCAGCTGGAGGTTGGCTAGGTGTGAAATTACTCAGGAGATTTTCAGCTTTAACTAAATACCCTGTCCTTTTGTCTACAAAAGCACCTTTTCTCCTTTCCGAGGTCCAGTGAATAGAAATGTTCCTCTGTAGGTCTGAATGAATTTGGCTTACTGTACATTTATATACAAACTGGTGACTGTTTGCTATCCTAAAATGAACAGCATCATATATATGAAGCCCAGTGGCTCTGGGTTTGTTGGGGGCAAAATGCTTTGCAATTTATTTTCTTCACTTGAGTTCTGAGTAAGATTGGCCTAAGTAAATTTGGCAGCTCTCCTTAGCGACAAAAATTTCTTGTACTTCTTGTAGCAAAACTCATACTTGAAAGAATTATGTTGCCATAGTAGTTATTTCGTGTCCTTTCGACTGGTTTCTTGAAGGATTAAAACTACTCTGAACTTCAGCTTGTTTTGAGGTCAGATGACTTCATTTCTAGCGTGATTTAAAATGTTGATTTCAACCCCCATTCCACTACCCCAAGTAGACTCGTCTGTGATTGAGCACCTCTGTGTAACTTTGTTAACTCCTATTTTTCTATTACTATCTGAAGAATATTTTTATATTAATTTTTCTTCCCAGAGGGTGTTATTCAAGTTGCACTCTGGAAATGCTGCAGTGTTGATCTTTTCATTTGATGTTCTCCTCACCTAAAGCTGTATTTTGAACTGTCTTTACTGCACTTAGAAACAAACATGCCAAAACTCCAAAAAAACAAACAAAACCCCAAACCACCTCAACCCACACAGGCCTGGGGTTGAAATGTCCAGTTTTCAGTGCTCAGTCAGAGGAGGAAAGATAGAGAAAGGTGTCAGAAGACTTTTTGGCTGCAGCTGTGGTGATTTTGACTTGGGCAGAGGTGCCCCATTGACAAGGGTAGTCAGACTTGTGTAGAGGTTTGCTTTGTCCTCGTGGGGACAGAGAAACCTTGCACAGTTGTTAGAGCAAAGTGTCCTAAGAATAGGGGTAGAAGAGCATGTGCAGTGCATCAGGTGACTAAACTTCATAATAGTTCATTAGTTAGCTTTTTTGAGTTTTGGGTTTTTCTGATTTTTGTTGGGTTTGTTGCATATGGTTTTAATAATTGGATGAATTTTATTTAGGTATCGGACTCGTCCAGGACGCCTTTGCTACAAGGTGTGATTATGGTCTTCTTTTAATGCAACTTTCTTAATCATCTTGTGGTTTCTTTTTTCCTTTTTTTCCCTCTGCTTCCTCTTTTCAGTCTTTTTGCATCTACTTTTTAATTTCTCTGAATAGCTCAATATAAGGGGATAGAACTGAAGACAAAATATAAATCTGTCATCACACTTGAGTGTTTTGGGTTTTTTATTTTTTTAAAGGAATACAGGAAAATATAAGTAGCAACAGAGCCATGATTCCTAAGCCTGAAGGGAGGCTTCCTATGCTTCTCTACTCTCTAACTTCCCAAATCCTTAGGAGTGTCTTAAAATATTTACAATTGATGTTATTTTCTCTTCTGTTACCTATATTGAAGTCCTTCACCTGATTTTTCTGTGTCCGTGCATTGACGTGAAAACCCGCTTAGTGCTAAACAAAAATTGTCATCTTCTGTTGTAACTCTGAGCATGATAAATTTGCCTTTAGTAATTGCACCTCCTGTCCCTCTGTCACCTCACTGCTGCACAGTGTCCTTTACCCTGCCCTGCCTGCAGTGCTTGCAGTGGGAGCCAGGATTCAGACCAGCTTTTGTGGTCTTGCCGCTGTGCAGCGTCTGGACTGCAGCGAGGTTTGACCTTTCTTGGCTGTAGCTCATGACTGCTAACACTGATGATGTTTATTTTCACTGTCCACATAGCTTGGAGAGAGCAGTGCAAGCTTTCAAATTTCAGCTTCATGTGGAATTTAAATATAATCTTGAATTATAGTTGCTGGTCTGGAGTTATACATCTATTTATAAAGCGTAGGGTGTCTGCTCTGTGTACTGAAGACAATTTGAGATGGTGAACTCTGCCTGACTGTGTCTGAAATTCTCAATTAAAAAGTACTTCTCACTAGCTTCTTTCTTCTAATAAAGAGAACTTGAACAATTTGAGTCTCATTAAAAAGTCTTAATAATAAAGAAATTAGATATAAACTGAAGATGATATTAGGAAGTGGGAAGGGTTGAGTGCAAATTAAAAGCAGATGGTGAGACTGTATTTTTATAGCTTAAAACTATTCTGTCCTGCTCTGTGCACTCAAGTTCTTGGATAGGTTTGTTAAAACCAGTTTTTCAGTTTCTGCTTTATACATATGACAAATGCTTGACTCCTCAAGATAGCTCTGAGGTCCCATAATTCATAGCTGAGATCATTTGTTTCTGTGTAATGATGCAGTCTGAAATTCTAGTTATGCTCCATGTGGCTTTTTTATGGAGTAGTCTTGAGCTGTAATGAGTTGCTGCACAGGAAAACATTTTAACTATTCACTGAAGCACAGGCATTTCTTGGGAGAGTAATGTACCGACTTTCCTGCCACCTAAATAGGCAGTATTGCTGCTGTGGAGTGTATAATAAAGGTTTTGCTAGGTTTTCTGGATTGCTTATGCTCCTCATGCATGCCTGCATGATAAACTAATTTCATACTTATTTTCCAGTTATTGATTTAATTTTAAAATACTGGGTTTTTTGCATCAGTACAAGGTATGAAATAATTTTAGTAGTAACATGAAAAATCTAGTGGACTAATGCAACTTTGAAATTTTCTACATAGGACAGTCTTGCAACTTCTAAGAGTTTGTCAGTTTTAAGTGCTCAGCACTTCTTATCTCTGTTTGAAGTAATAAATCAACAGACTTGGCGTTGGCATGTTACACAACATGCACCTGCAGTTTAGTACCACTGTTTTTATAATCACATTTTTAGAAACTCACAAATTCATCATAACTGTGAGTTGTTAAGAATTCTGTGAATGCAACATGATCCAAGTGACTCTTGCAGGCAAGTGTTTCTTAGGTACTGTGTAGTCTTACAGGGAGGAGTTGGTATTGCCATTTCTAGTTTGGCTCTGTGGGAGTGGTTTTTTTGGGGTGAGTTTGCTGGGTTTAGTTTTTAATAGTTCACCGTGTTAGGAGATAGGTTAAACATAAATGTATTTCAGTTACAAAGCTGTCTTAACACCTCCCCCTTAAAAACTGTCAGGAATTCAGATGTGGGAGCAAAGCTTCTAAATCTCTTCCACTTTAAAAACGTTCATCAGCTCTCCACAATGTCAGACTGCTTTGGCTCTTTTGAGGGTTAAAACAACAACTTTGTCCAGGATTGTAGTGAGGTGCCTTCATTTTGCTGCTGGTTGTCATAAAGATTCCTGCAGCTTCTGCTGAAGCTTTGAGAATGGAGTTGTCCTGAGAGAATCTACAATGGAGATACATGTGTGGGAAAAGCTGCTTAATGTGATCTCAGCCTTTTAGAGAGGCACCTGTTGTCCCCAGCTTCAAGTTGTGGGCTCTCCTTCAGTGTGGAAGAGAGGTTAGAAATGGGATGGGGTGGCTTTTTTAACCTTGTAACATTTATATAAAAAAAAAAATCAAAACGTCCTTGATGCTTTACTAGGCCTTTTAAGTTTTTTTTCAGGTTTTTAAAAGTTAACTTAAAAATCTGATTAGTAAGCTGAGAATTTAAAATTTAAATACAGGTGCTGTCTCCCGCATTTGTACAAAAAAGTACATTTTTTTGCTACTTCCAGTGTTGTAGGATTAAGAAAAGAACCTTTGACTATGGGATACACTGAATTGTTGCGAATAGCGGTGACTCTTAATTCTAGAAGCATCTTGTCTCTGCTTACCAAAATTACCTTCTCTCTGCCAGCTGTTAGATGATCTTCCCTGGGATGAGGGAGGATATATGGCGTGACTTGATGTAATATGGTACTGTGGGGGGAGGTTGTTCTTGTTTTATCCTGGAAACAAATACTTCAGTCTTCGTTCAAAGGGATGGTTTGAGTTCTGTAATTGTAGGGAGTGTTTTGCTTTGGGTGACTTTTGATGTGGATTTTTGGTTACAGTGCAGGGGGAAAAGTCTGAATATACTGAAATGAATGCAAGATTGTCATTGTCACAGGAACTGGATGTTCACTGCTGGACTGAGTGTGTGCTGTTGCTGTAACTCAGTTCTTAGGTCTGTTGGCAAGACTGGTGGCAAGACTGGTGCCTACCTTTATTCTTATTGTCTTAATTCTGACACACGAAGAAAGAGTTGTGAAGACCTTTTCTGGTCTGAGTCCAATTGATATTGTGGCCACTAGGCTCTCCTGAGCATTACCCAAATCCCACTGACTTGTTTTTTGGAACTGTCAGCTTAATGCGCAGCATATTGGTGTGGGTGGACTGTGAAACAGCTTGTTTAAGCAAACCTGCTTTTGATAAGGTGTATTTGTGTGCCTTTCAATGAAACAATTCTGTTGGCATAAAAGAAGGAATGGCACAGAGATGGGTCACAGCTGGAGAAGGAGAGAGAAGTTAATGGAACTTGTCTCTTTGCCCTGTACGTAGAATTATACCACACTAGAATGTGTACAGCACAACAGTGTCAGAGCCTGTCTTTGTGTTGCCAAGGATTCTCCGGTGGGTGCTAGTAAACAAGGAAACTATTGTGTGGAAATCTGCCCAGCTTAGATCAGAACCCACACAGTGAGCAGCTGTTTCACAGAAAGACAGGGAGGATTTTCACTCCTGGGCTGGTTATGCCACTAAGGAAGAACGTCCATGTGATTTTCTACCTGAACGCATTATCCCTTGTCCTAATAATCCTGCCACGCTGGGCACACGAGCTCCTTGACACTTTCTTTTTCAGCATTAGTTGTGCTACTTGTGTATCTTCTGTCTGTGGTTGTCAGCTACCAAAACTGTGCAATTTTTGGCCTCTTGTTAATGATGTTTAATTCTGAAGCCCTCAAACTGATGGTCTTGGTTTGTCTCACTAGCAAATGTGTACTTTACCTGTGTAATACATTCAATGACATGTCCCAAGGGGAAAACCAGAGCCTTCATTGCCCTCTAGCAGTACAACAGTGGATAGGGAAATGGGGCTTTTTAGTTGGGACAAGTACAAATTTGTCTTGTGTTATTCAAGTGATCTAATCAGTTACGTTAATTGGAAAGTATAATCAGTCTACATAATAATCTGGTTTAGATTCTCATCTGTTGCAGGACTTTACAGTTCCATTTCCCTTATCCTCTTTAAAATAGAAGGAAGATTTACAAAGAGATGTTACCAATAGTTAGTTTTTACTAATTTTACTACTAATAATAGCCTTTACAGCTATGAAAAGAGAAAGCCACTCTTTTCTGTTCAAGCTGTTGCTTGCTACAGGTAAATGTCAGGTTAGATCCTAGAGTCTACTTCCAGTTCCGAAAACTGTGTCTTTGAAAAATTTGTTTAAACCCAATTGTTTTTTTGTTCTTTGTATTTAATAATCAAGATACTTCTGACTCATAAGTTTAATTTCTTGTAGAGGACTTGAGTCCTTGGTTGGAGAGTGCTTTTGTAGTGGAAAGCATTAGCTAATGGAGCTTTGATTATTTAGCTTGAATACTTCTCTGATCTATAGAGGACTTCCTATCTGTATGCTGCTAAAATGTACTCTAACAAATGTTTAATTATATCTCTCTTAGCTAACAAATACTTCAGATCAATGGGGGGAAAGCAGTATTTCTTTATAAAGAGCCATCTCTTTTCCTTTCTTTTTTCTTTTTACATTTAGATGATGGAACACCTGGATTACACAGGAAATGAAGAAAGCACAGCATCAGCCCCTGAACAGCCTGGAGGACAATAACATATGGGATCCTGATTGAAAATGGCATTTGAATTTTCAACAACTGAATTACACTAAATTTGGTGAAATTTTACAATAGAGTGTTTCCCACTCTGTGTAAAAGGGTTTTTTATTCCTGCACCTATATTTTTATGGAAAATATTGTTAATGACATAAAAGTAATCAAAATAGACTTGCATTTTTACAGCCAAACCATAGCTAGTAAAACCGTGCCTTATTTCAATTTAAATAAAAGGATATTTTCTATGCAATTTTCCAACTGTGTTTCTATACAGTATATTTTTGTACAAGTTGCTTGCCCATATTGGTTTGATGCCTGAACTGTTTTTTTAAAACTTTGATTGACTAGTCAAGTTTCTTTAAAAGAAAACACAGTACCTTTCCTAGGATTTCTTTCCAGATTTTGAATGCAACGTTGGGTTGTAATGCAGCTATAGCAACTGAAGAATGAAAGTATAGTTCCATTACTACAAGTAATTCAGTAAACAGTGTGTGTGTGTCTATGTACGTGGTAAGCCATAAAATCAATAACAGGGCAAATTTAGCATGAGGTTTGTGAGCTCTTCCTCCCTCCCCCCCCGTTGTATCACTGGCTTATGCCTTAACTGTGAAAATTTCTAAGCTTGGGTGCAAGTCTTTGGATTGTAAACATCACCAAACATTTAAAAAAAATAAAATAAAAGGGGGGGAAAAGGTACTTACACAATGATCCTGAAAACTTCTGTGCAGCTGGAATAGTTGACAAACAAGATGGTGCAAAAGGCAAGAGGTTTTTTGCTCAATAAATGCTATTTTGGGGCGTGGTGTGAAATGTTAACTCTGGCCTGGTTCTTCTGCTGGTTAAGAGTAGGTCTGTACTAGGTCTGTATTTGTGGTCTTCATTTGGCTGTGGATCAATTCAAAGGGATGGGGGAAAACAGGACAGAATTTTGGGTTTTTTTTACCTTTTGCATCTGCACCATACTTTTTTAACTGTTTTTGAAAATTCTTTGCAAGTGATAGACAAAACAGGTTTGAATAGTGCTATTAGTGCCTGTGTTAGTTAAAGCCAATGCATGTGTTTAACTTGTTTAATGTTAATTTGTTTTAGCTCTTAAAGACATGGAAAAGGATAAATAGTTTAAATCATTATTTGCATTTAGAAGAGTTTGAGTTTGTTTGACACATGTTCTTTTTTCAGGAAACTGCAAATTGAGGGGGATTAGGCATAAAAAAAATTGTATAGCTGTAATGCTAACACCTCACACCAAAGAAAACTGGAGAAGGCAACAACGGGAGACCATTGAGTTCACTTAGTGCTAATGTCAGGTAGTTATTAAAGCATTTTTCCTATTCTTTGGATGAATGTCATTCCTATAGCCAGCACAAGTTCAAGAACCCTGGGAAAACAACCGACTAAGCACATGCTGGGCAATGGCAGTGAAGACTTTCCTGCAGTGCCTCATGTGAGTGCCTCCCTGTTTGTCTGAAGGTCACCTCTGGACATGAGATATTAGGAAGAAATTCTTTATAGAGAGGGTAATCAGGCATTGGAATGGGCTGCCACTTGCCACCCAGGCAAGTGGTGGATTCTCTGTCCCTGGAGGTTTTTAAGATGGGACTGGATGTGGCACTTAGTGCCATGGCCCAGTAACCACGGTGGTGGTGGATCAAGGGTTGGACTGGATCTCAGAGGTCCCTTCCAACCCAACTGATTCTACAATTCTATGATTTACAGTTAGTTCGGGGCATGTCGGCTCAGGAAAACTTACCCAGATTAAATCTGGCTTAACTAGATTTACTGTGAAAGTATGCTAATTAAGGCAATTGTAAATCTATATTGGCATTTAACAAAGGCTTACTGCAAATTCATTCGCAGCTTTATGTGATTTATATCAAGTTTGAACTTTTGTTTGCAAGAGGGAGGAACAGCCAGACTGACAGTCTGGATGTCAGTTGTTGCCATTCACACGGATTGACCGTGGTGCCAGTTGATACGGGTAAGATAAACACCTTGTTTGCAACTTCCCTAAGGAAACAGGAATTAAAAGCAGGTTTTGCATGTTAGCAGTTCCCCTCCTTGACTTGAGCTTGAACTGACAGCCTCAGAATGCAATGGTCATCTTCAGTTTTTATTTGACTGGCATTTCATAAATTACAGCATACCTCAGTGTTCCAATAGCAGACTGCAAATGTGTCTTCTGATGTGTTGTCGTGCTCTTTGACAAGCCCAGTATCTGCCAAAGTTCAGTGATTTTGAAGAAGTTTCTGAAAATTTCTGAAGCAGATAAAGAAGTCATGATAAAGAAGTCATAACTCATTCAAAGTCATGCAGCCTTCAGAAGCTTCACAAACCTATGGTCTATGACTTCTTTGTCTCTTTTGAAATCTTTTGCGTGGAGGATTTACTAAATTTTCAACTATAAATGATAATGGAATTAGTATAAATAAAGACCTTTGGCAGTGTAAGTGTATTCAGCAGCTGGCTGTGGAACCTGTGTCTTGTTCTGTGCCTAATAATGCTCCATGCCTGATCATGCCTGAGGTTTCACACACGTGCTGCAGTTTAATGGGGTGTAAACTAACTTTTTTCCTTTCAAATGCTTAGGTGCTTTGTTTACAAAAATTAAGAATGGAGTTTAAAATTTTATATAAATAGTAGGTTAGTATTGACTACTGAAATGAGGTTTTATAAGTTCAACAGAACTGATTGCAACACTTCTAGCAATTTTGAATGTTTTTAATATTGAATTTGGTTGAGCTAAACACTGTTAAAAGCCTTGTTAGTCATACTTTAGTAGAAAAATCTTACTACCTTTTCATTGTATGTTTACTGACAACAGCCCCCTTCCTTATGACTCTTAAGTTATCACCTTAAGAATGTTATTAATAAATGTTAATTGGAAAAAAGATAGTTGAGTAATTGCTTTGTTCTAACTCATCTTTTTCTTACTGTGAATGTTCATGGCAAAACAGTTACCACTTCATAATACCAAGTAAATTAAAAATCCATGATGCAGCCCCATAAATGTGTAGTTGCAGTTTTTATCCATGTATCCAAGTTATGCTTCTGTTTGTAGGTATCTGTGTGGTAGGTTTGCTGGATTCCTTTTCTCTATATTTTTAATTTTCTTCTGGGGTGAAGAGCAGGGAACTGAAGTCTGTGAACTAACCTACATCTGTTGGACTGGTCTGATCAGGGAATGCTCATTGCACGGCTGTTAGTCATGAGCTCTGTGAAAGCACACCTGACAAAAGTGAGCCAGAAATTTAACACGTGCAAACTTCTTGGTGGTAACAAGCTGCTTGCACTCAGCCCAGGAAATAGTGCTGCAGAAGTATTTTCAGCTGAAGGTGCTCAGCCTTTGACATGAGGGCAAGAAACAGCCACACCTCAGACATGAAACCCAGGCTGGGTTGGAAATGTTGGCAGGGAAAAAGAAAAAGGTCACTGAACCTGAATAGACTTGATATGTGATCCTTGAGACATCCCTACAGCCCTGTGATAGTGTGTTTGTATGCAACATGTTTTTAAATATTTTGAGCCTCTTCTGCTCATACATTGGAGGTTCCGGTAGCATTGAGTCTCAGTAAGTGAGTACTTAAAAAATTCTTGTTTTCTCTTTGGTTTAAGTTTTGAAGGAAACTCTCTAAAATGTTCTTTGAATTTACTTATTTTAAAAAATAAAGAAGTTAAGGAGAACAGACACAGCTACAATCAGCAAACTTGTTTTTCACTGTCTGTTCCCTGTGCATTCCACTGTTAAGGCTGCTCCATTTGACACACTGGCAAAACTCTAAATCTCAAAATTGCAAGAAGAGAGGTAGTTTCTTCTGAGGAAGAGGATGGTTGCCTGTTTAGATCAGTCCAATCTTTACAATACAGTTCCATTTAGACACAAGACTAAGCTTTTCCATGTGAGTGTGGTCAAACACTGGTGTAAGTTGCACAGAGAGAGCGTGGAGTTGGAGTTTCCACCCTTGGAGATACTCAATATACAAGTGGACACAGGCCTGGCAGCCTGCTCTGAGCAGAGGGGTTGGAGTAGGCTGTTAGACTTAAGCACATTTAAAAGTTGTCTTTGGATTTGCAATGCTTTCAAAAGCTGAAGCACTGTTTTATTTTTAAGTAGCCTATACAGCACATTTTCTGAGTGAATGGTTTATCTTTACGATTTTTAAGGAAAGAAGGAGAAGGGCAACTCTGTTATCCCTTTTGTCAGAAGTGAGTGACCAAAGTTCAAGGTTTTGTGTGCTTGAGAGAGGTTGATGGTGGAGGCTCAGGTATCTCTGGAATTCCTGTTATTGATAAAGAATGTGCAAGATCCTGTTTCCCTGAATACAGGGGGCATCAAATAGCTGAGAATAGGTTTTTTGCTTGTAGCTCAAAGACCTTTTAACCAAGAAAGTGTTTAGATCAAAGAGCTTTTAGCTTTTTGTCAGGAGTGTGCTCACAGGTATTCTGCTGTCTGGTTTCAGTGACAGTAATGTAAAACAAGCTGATCTTCTCCTTATCTGTGTTATGGCCCCACCGACTTTCTGGGGTTGCATTGATGGTGTAACAGCCAGATTTAGATTCTGAAACAAAACAAAGTAAGGGAAAGTTTTTGCAGTTTCATCAAGGGTTGAAATGTGCTCCTGCTAGTTCTCCCAATGTTTTGCAGAACTCCTACCACAGTGTATCAACTTGTGTATTGTACAGGCTTGGGAATACGAGGAAATTCGACAGGTTAATTGCTGAATTAAAAGTTCAGCAGTAGCTCAGTTAATTTAATTTCCACCTTTGCTGTGATGTGTCCCTGTCAAAGCTACAAGAAAAGTGAGCTTCTTTTAATTAAATATTTCTTTAAAAATGTAATGGAAAGTTACGCTGGGAAATTAATCCATCCTTGTGGATTTAAGGCAACTCCAGAAAATTAGCAAACAGGTAAGTGAGTATTTCTGTGGTAGCTGATTTCAAAAATAAATTTTATAAGTAAATTTACATTACAGTAACCATGGAACCAAGACCAAATGCATGCCCACTGGTACCTTTTCTGCAAGAAATGGAACAGCAAGCCTCCACAGGACAAAGTGATACTTTTGTCATGGTCACTGTCAAATAAGAGTTTAAAGTTGGACAATTAAGATCAGTCCCATATAAATTAAATTTAGAATTTTACATTTTGATCAAGAGTTACCTATCCCTAGATTAAAACAACCCAAAACTATAAAGAAGCAGAGCTCTGTGAACTTGTCCCCAGTTTCTAAAATTCAGGCACCTCTACCTCTTGCTGCTTTGCTTGCTGGTTCAGGCAGTGCAGTCCTGGAAGGAGATGCTGCTCCTCTGCTTCTTGCACATGGAGCGTCTCTGTGCAAAGGCCACCTCACTGTCTGACCACCGTGCACCTGCTCAGCTGCTAACAAGTGAAAACACAAGGATCTGTGAGCCCAAAGATTGCAGCAGGAACAATTTTCACAGGGAAGCTTGAGAAATTCTAAAAAAAAACTATGGGGGGAGAAAGTTCAGAAGGAACAAAGCTGAGATAAAGTTGTTTTAGTTGCATTTTTAAGGGCAGGCACTGATAAAATCTTGCAAAGGGCCACCATTATGTTGTAAATGTACCCACACAGTTCCTGGCAGCTACTGGTTTTACACATCTAAATAGAGATGAATGTGGCACACCCTTGGCAGTTTTGTGCAAGACTTCAGC